AGAGGGCTCTACATTTAGCTGGAATGTTGAAAAGTTAGGAAAATGGATGCTGGCGTGGGTAAAAACGAAAGTGATCTATTCACGACGATGGCGAATTGCCTTCAGCTCTCCTACGACTTGCGTTGAGTGAAGAGGTTCGGCCAGGTAGGACTCCATGTTATCCCTACCCCTTGGCTCACTTCTCTTGTTCCTTCGCAGACGCCGAGTCGGCATCAGCATGACTTAATTCGTCTGCCTCGCCTCTCGAGTGTCTGGAGCTCGTGCTCTCGCCTACTTTGTGCCAAGTCTGCATGTATCTTTAATCACGCCGCTATAGCTTCGCTGTCCAGTCGGCTGTGCACTGGCTGGACAAACGAAAATGGTGGCACTCTTCGACGGGTTGCGGCGAGGTATGCTCCAATTAAGCCATTATGTTGACATGCTGGAAATCTATGTGTATAGATGTGAATAAATAAATTTATGTATATATATGTATTTATGTTTTTTTACATATTTTATTTTTATATCTATTTATAAACATAAATATACATCTATATGTATTTACAGATAACATATATATGTCATACCACTTGACAGCTCTATTCAGAGATAGATAGAGATAAATATGAAGGTATTTATTTATACATAGATAAATATACATAGATATACATAGATAAATATAAATATATACTAATATATAGATAGGTTTAGCTGGTTTCTAGATAAATAAATAGATATTTTTGCATTCATAAATAAATGCCACTATATAACTTAAAAGAATATGCATAATCCATCTATCTCTATATTCAAGATTACCTTCCAAGGGACTTTTGTTAAGCTTCACTTGAGATGCATGCTCGTCTAGCCACCTTCGACCGGCACGTGTGGCGGTATCTTGCAGCGCCGGACACTGAGAGGGCGAGGAGTAGAATACTATCGGTTGTTGAGACGTGTCGGAACTGGCCGTCGCTATTTGACGGGAATAGGTGAAAACCGAAGCGAATGTGGACTTGCGAACGGGAGTGGTCGCGGGATTTGGTCTAGTCTGAACTGTTCGAGCAGATCAGCAGCAGGCGTTGAACAAGAGACGCCATCAAAATCAGCTGTTACTCCTTTAACACCACTGTCAGCCTACTCTTGGCTTCGTCGCCACCATGTTGCTTGAGCAACAAGTCAATTGAAGGCTTCTTGAGACGCCTCTAAATGCGATAACAAATCATGTTGCTGGGAGGTAGATC